ATATCTAAACTTACAAATATTGAAAAAAAGTTCCCAGTCCATAGTTTAAAGGTTTGACAGTGGTACGGAGATTCCAAGGCTGAGAGGTCCATTACATGTTACTGTATACAGGCAGTACAATTTTGTTTCCTGTAAAATTCATCCTATTTCATCTTCACCCGTATACCAATAATCATAAAGTCCTAGTGCTTTAGGGAGCTTCAACATTTTGAAATTATTCCAATCAATGATAAAGAAAAGTATTGACAAAAAACCCACAAGACCAGTCTCTCTATGCTTTATAATGAAGAGGTCCGGGTTTCACATCCTTCTCGTGGAGATGCTTCTGTGAAAAAAGTAATTGAATACATATTTTCTATGACGGCCATATTGGATTTCTGATCGACCCGAAAAATAACAACACTTGGTCAGGGAGTTGTCAGTAACATTCCCATGAAGTATCAATGAAATCCCTTTGACGGTATTTCAGCTTAAGTTGAAAATGTAAAATGTTAACGGACGACGCGCGACGGACGACGACAGACGAAGACGGATAGCAATAGGTCTCTTGAGCTAACGCTCAGGTGACCTAAAAAAACTCACTCCATGATCGTAGGAGGCAACCAATGTGGTATCCCCACATATTTGGGATGTGCGTTGTGCCCTCCACTTGGGGACAAACAAGCAACCAAATCAATCTACTGCGCCCATTGAATATTTGGCAACTTTGTTTTTCTCTCTACTTCTATCTACCTTTTGTTTCCTTGCGCCTCACCAGTTAATACCTCACTTTTGGTTTTAATGTCGAATGATTATTGTTATTCCCTACTTAACTCTCAGTGTTTAGGGAAATGGCAACAACAGGTACACCCGTTGTCAGTATCATTTGACCGGGTGGAATGCTGTGCTAGGTGCCTTTAGCTTGTTTTTCTTTTCCTTTAGTGAGACTATAAAGTCGGCATTAGTTCCGCGCTTTCAAAACAAGGCAAATATACCAACATACCCTGCCTCCGACACACATACGTGTACACATGCGCGCATACACAATACACATGAATAAAGGCACGTCCTCAAATGACATTAGCTGTTGATAGGACGTTAAATACGACCGTATAAAACACAAAAACTTATATATCTATCTGCTCGTAAAAAGTAAACTAAGAAAATGACTGAACAAATTGTAACTCTCCTTCGTTGGAGGTACAACACAGCGCAATACTAACTACCTTAATGGATCAGTTCCGCGCTATCACAAGGAGACAAACACGAACATATCGCAGCCTCCCAAAATACACACACATACACTACACGCATGCATCTTGCACACAGGGGAGGCCGTCCTTAAATGACATTAGCTGTTAATAGGACGTTAAACAAAATCAAACAAACAAACAAACAAAGCAATACTAACTACCTTAATGGAAACAAAACGGATGTGTGGACATTACCACATGAACTTCGAATTACCTGAGAAATTGAGGCAAATTGCCGATTTATTATAAAACACAGCTGCCAGTACCCCAAATTTACACAAACTATGTTACAAACTTTTCCTCCCGACTTATCAATTTCTGACTGGTTATATAGGGGACTAGAATATTTTATATTCTACATGCATGTTTCTGATAAGTGGCTCCATTTGATATGCAATTATTGTTAAATCTTGAATCGTTACACGCCATAAGAGGTCAGGCGTCCTTTCTCAAAAATGTCACCAGCTTGAAGTTTAAACCCCACAATCTGAGACCTTACATTTGTAAATGTAAGTAACTTATTTATCCATGCAAATTATGAGGCAAATTAAATATCCCTTACGGTTTTATGGTTCAGAAGACGTTTTTTGAAGCTTTCGACATCTGTGACCTTGAAAGAAGGCCAATATCATTTATTTCACCATACTAGTTGGGTGCATGCCTTATATCATGACACTACGCATTAACATTATTTTAAAGACATAAATGCGGGACAGTTGAGTTTAAAATGTGCAGTGATTAAGGGAGTATTGACTGGACAACGTAAGAACAACTTTACATTTGACCACTCGGTTATCTTGAGAGTATGGAACTGACGATAGTGTTTGGTAGGTGACATACTAGTGTAAAGATGCAAACCTCTTGTCCTCATACATATGTAGTTGGACTGGTAAGAAACTAATATTATAACTAACTGACCTTCCTCTGAGGGCAATGCGACATTTGACGTACCAGGTAGTCACGATTTATATACTTGGACACTTTTGTCCTTAGCCTTTTTATCAAATTGGCGCAGTGTTCACATGCGTATGGTATTTTGTGTACTAGTATTTGCCGTCCTCATTATGGACGGCGCAAATTACTACAGTGAAACTTTCGGTATAGTTTAGTATTTATTGTTTAACGTTCTATCAACAGCTATGGTCATTTAAGGAAGGCCTTCCCTGTGTGAAAGATGCATGCGTGTGGTGTATGCGCGTGTGTTTTGGGACGCTGCGATATGTTCGTGGGTGTCTCGTTGTGAAAGCGCGGAACCGATGCCGACTTTATAGTGCCTCCTCACTGAAACATACTGCCGAAGACACACAGCAGGACCGTTATACTGACAACGGGCAAACCAGTTGTCCCACTCCTAAATTGCTGAGCGTTAAGCAGGATAGTTTCCTTGACCCTGGACTGTAGACCAGTGGTACTATCAAAGTTTTATTTTATACACAAATAATGTACCATTAATGTTTCAAGACGGACTGATCCCTTTATCAAGCTACTCGTTTCCAGAACGACTCTCGGTCTTGAAACGTTGCGACAAATTTATTATATACATTGCGTAGAAAGTAAAACTTTACTATTACATATTTCAAAGCTGGAAAATATTAGTGAAGATATTAGTACAATGGTACATTGACACTAGACACTATCCGATTATAACGAAGTTTTAATGGATACTGTCCATTTGCAGTCCAGAGGTTTGAACTTTGACTCATTGTTGTGACCTTTGGGTATAGACCAGTGTGTGGAACATGACAAATTTTACACGTAGCAACACCTAGAGTAAATACAAACAAGAGGCCCAGGGGGCCTGTATCGCTCACCTGAATATTTAAGCAGTCGTAGCAAAACATTCTCATTAGATATTATACTGTACTACAAATATTTCACTCACGAGCTTTGTCAGCTCCATCTGTTGAAAGCCAAATATTAGTATATAATTTTATGCATTTTGGTTCCTCTTCAGAAGATGTTTGAAGTATTTGACATATTTTTGCCTGAGACCTTGTAAGTAGGTCAAGGTTATTTTCCTTCTCAAACTTTGTTGGCTCCAGAAGCTACCAGTCAAATCTTATGAATCCATTGCAGAACTAATCGTTTGAAATGTTGTTGACTTCTGTGACCTTTAAAGTAGGTTGAGGTCATTTTTATTTGCAAAACTTGGTGAGCTCTATCCATACAAGCCACCAGCCAAATATTATGATTCTATGCCTCTCAATTATTCAGAAGTCGCTGGATGTTTTTGACATATTTGACCCCTGTGACCCAGAAAGTAGGTCAAGGTCATTTTAATTCGCAAACTTTGTCGTGCTTAATCTAAAGAAGTTACCAACCAAATATTAAGATTCTATACCTTTCAGTTCCTCAGAAGAAGTCGCTTTAAGTGTTTTAACATATTTGACCCCAGTGAACTTGGAAAAAGGTCTAGGTAATTTTCACTCAAAAACTTTGTTGGGATCCACCCAAAGAAGCTTCCATTCAAATATGAAGATACTATTCCTTTAAGTTCTTCAGCAGAAGTCGTTTGAAGAGTTTGACATATTTGACCCCTGTGACCTTGAAAGTAGGTCAAGGTTATTTTACTTCTCAAACTTTGTCGGATCTATCCCAGGAGCAACCCGCCAAATATCAGGATTTTTCACCTTTTAGTTCTAAAGAAGTTGTCGTTTGAAGTGTTCGACACATTTGACCCTTGTGACCTTGAAAGTAAGTCCATGTCATTTTCATTCTCAAACTTTGTCTGGCTCTACTCCAGGAAGCAACCAGGCAAATATGAAGATTATATACCTTTCATTTCTTCAAAAGTCGTTTGAATCGTATGACATATTTCACCGCTGTGACTTAAAAGTAAATCAAGGTCATGATCATTTTAATTCCCAAACTTTGTTTGGCTTTATCCAAGGAAGGTACAGGCTAAATATGACGATTCTATACCTTTCAGTTCTTCACAAGAAGTCATTTGAAGCGTTTGACATATCTGACTACTGTGACCTTGAAAGTAGGTAAAGGTCATTTTCTGGCTTTATCGCAGAAAGCAACCAGCCAAATATGAAGATTATATACTTTTAAGTTCTTCAAGCGTCTGACATATTTCACTGCTGCGACCTTGAAAGTAGGTCAAGAGCTTCATTCCCAAACTTTGTAATGCTCAATCTAAAGAAGCTACCAGCCAAATATTAAGATTCTAAACCTTTCAGTTCTTCAAAAGACGTCATTTGAAGCGTTTGACATATTTGACCATGAAAGTAGGTCAAGGTCATTTTTGTTCTCAAACTTTTGTTTGGCTCCTACCAACATCTTATAGCCAAATATCATGACTCTGGACCTTTTAATTCTTTAGAAGAAGTTATTAAAACGACAACTTCTTTAGAGAAGTTGACAGACGGACAACAGACGCTGCACCACGACATCAACAACATGCAGTGCAGTGATTTGCCATAGACCTATTGCTCTGATCCTGACTTTGGGTATAGCGAGACAAGTCGATAACCCCTATATGTTGTCTATTCACAAGTGTCACCGACCTCAGTTTGGGGGTAGAAACACTGTATCTAGACCTGTGTTTCATAGCTGGAACATCCTCTTGCTTTTGAACATGTTCATTATTCATTCAGCAGATGGAGAGAGTATAGACCAGAAATCATGAAAATGCCCCAGGTTAACTTGGGATGAAAAAGTCACTGCCATCGATACCCTCCTATATAACATAAGAGGGACTTTATCATGCAATGCTTACTACCTAGCATACAGACTGTCTAAACAAAAACAAAACACTCCAGATTTAAATTGCGATTGACTTTATACAAGATGAATATAAAATGATAAAACGTAACAAATTGTACATGTTGTACATAATGCAAGTTCACCAATTTGTTTCCTAGAAAGGTGTTAAAATGTTAAAATAGACCATTTCATCTTTAGAGTTAGAGCCCACAGACTCATTCTGAGAAAAATGCCCAACATACATGTTAATGGTAAATAATCGAAATGCAAGTGGAACTGAAAATGTAGCCCTTAATTTATGAAACTGTAGACATTTTAAAGGATGTACAAGTGTTAACCTGAAGATAAATGCAACCTTCCAAATAAAACATTATGTAAGAGTTGTCTCCCTTCAATTAATCACAAACATTATGCAAGAGTTTTTTCTCCATTCATTTTTACTTTCAGGGTAACTACAGATTATTCTTGTGAAACTTAAGCTTGAGAATATGCAATCAATAAATCAAACCTGTCCAAATTTCTGTACCATCCATGGAGCGTTTTTAAATGTTTGTTAGTGATAAACTCTTTTGAAAGATATACCCTTGAAAAGTGATCCAATTGACACCATGCAGTTGAATTAGAGAAGACATCAGATCTGTGAAGTTTATAGATAACAAACTGACAGATCAGATCTGTGAAGTTTATAGATAACAAACTGACAGATCAGATATGTGGAGTTTATAGATAACAAACTGACAGTTTTTCATATTGAACACATGCTGGGGAATAAAATATCCAAGGAGAAAAAAATGTACATTATCCAAAACATGAACAAACGTATATTTAGAATGTTCTTCATGACAGAAACATTTTAAACAGGATGACACAACATTGGATTGAAGCTCTGTTATTCTGGAAACATTATAAGATGATATCACATTACTGTTCCTATTATAACGCCAGAATAAACCCCAAGACAGTGATGGACAATCAGTCTTTGGTTCCATGAAACGCCTAAGCAAAGAATTTTTTCCCACTTTAAATTAAAAGGCCCATTATTGTTTATAATACAGAAAGTTTTTAACTAAAGGTAAGGAATGTTTGTAAACTTTGTCCAGAACAATGACATATCCACCTACGCCATCACAGGCTCTACCCTTAATATCTTCCTGATAAAAGAAACCCGACACAAGTTTCTTGACTTTGAGCAGGCTCTTAAATGTTCAAAATCAGATCGGCGTTATAGGCCATATTTCTTAAAATTTCTGATGACTTGTTAGAACAAGATCTTTAATTCACAAGCACATATAACATAGAGCATGTACTACATGTATATGCACACACACCCTTATATTGAGCATGTGCATGTAAAGTAACTAGATGATCATACACATAGATGTATTGGTGATAACCTTGCATTAAACATATTTATTGAGCTCTACGTAAAGTATTCAAGCTTCAAAATCATATGAAATATAAGCCAAAGCGTTTTTTTGTAGTCAATCTGATTTTATATTCTAATACATGTATTCCATTGCTTTAAATATATCCCTTGAAATTGTTATTTATCAAAGTTATCAAAGGTAAAACAACCTATTCTAATGCACGGGGTTGGGGTAGGTGTGAGGATTTTTAAGATAAACCCATAGGTGTTGGTGGTCACTCGATAGCTCCAAACACACACCCCCCCCCACGTCATGTACTGTACTGTATTCATATTTTCAATATTTTTTAATGTAGATACCACACAGATTGGGGTATCTAAGAAAATGATCGTTTATCAATCAATCAATTTTCAAAGATGTGACCTACCTACAATTCTTTTTTTATACCATAACAAAATTTCTTACCGACATTGGTATCTACCAACTCATATGAAACATCCGATTGAAGTCTCTTCAATATCTTGTTTTAAAACAAATATATAATGAATTCCATCATGTAAATGCAGTACAGCTTCACGACAGTGATACGTGTATCCCAGCATTAAAAAGTCATAGATCTGGGCTGGCCAACAGGTCTCCATATAATCTAACGGGAACAATTTGTAAGTCAGCGTTTCAATATCTTGGCCCATTTGTACATGTATATAATCAGTCTCTGTCTGATACTTGTTTAATTCTTTTCTAATCGTTAATCAGAATCCTCCTTTGACTTCTTCTTCTTCTTCTTTTTCTTCTTTTCTGAAGATTCTGGATCAGCTGAAATGAAAAAGAAAATAAGAGTTACATGTACCACTCTAAAACAGTGGTGAAAGCATAAGGCTATCAAACTTGTATCAGACCAATATTTATTACAAGGAAACAGCTATAACTTAGTTCAGATTGTAACAACTATTTAACAATCCATGATTACTTATGTTACTTTATACCATCATTTTCATTGACATATTCAAATGTATGATGCGAGTTTATTATATGTCAAAAGGGAGTTAACTCTTATAACTACATTTATTTGTTTTAACCATGAAATGGCTCACAATAACAGTAATACGATTTCTACTGCCCTTTCCAGTTTTTTTGAAAGCTGTACTTAAAGGTGTTTGTTATGGTCACAAAGAAATTTTGAACCCCCTAACACTTAAAATGGTACTACTTTCTGACAGGCCAAAACTGATTTCTTTACTCGAATTATTGGACAAATCTATTTTTGACAGGTGAATATAATGTGTGTATGCCACTATTGAGACTACTTTGAAACTATCTTATGGTTACATATAGGATTAGTTGGACAAAGCAGAACAGTTTTACTGGTTGTACCAAGTTTGGTCCTGATGCTGCATGACAAAGAGCGTGCAATAGGACTATGTAACGTGTTTTAGTGAAAGCATACTAACGCCATATCTAGGCCAAGAGACAGGTACAATATTTAATCAAAACATTTTTTTTAAGGAATGGAACACTATGCCCGACTTCCATTAAAGTTATTTGCTAAAGTATACCATAGCATATATACTATTAGCAAAATCAGTCCAACTTGCATTACTCAGTTACAAATGAGGTGGTAACTGGTATCAAAAACCCTGATTTGGGTTGGTTTACATTATAAAGAAGGTCTAATGTCAGTTAAATATGTGACGTGTCATCAGTGATATCTCAAATGCTCGATTTAATTATTCCGACCTTCATTCAATGGCAATAAAAACAAGGGGAGTTAACTCTATATAATCAATATTTGACAATGTTACTGTGGTGCTCACCTATTGACTCCTGTGTTGTATCAACACTGTTGTCCAAGTCTTTGTACTTGTTCTTCTTTTTCTTCTTCTTTTCAGATGAAACTTCTAAACAAAGACAATATCCATAACTGATTAGAATATTCTAATTCCTGCATGACTGTAAATTTGTATTTACATTAATAATTGCTGCTACAGTGATGCACAGAAACATTAGCCTGTTAAAATTACAGTTAAAGTGAAGACTACCAGGCTTATCTCCCCTATCAAAAGGCTGTCTATATCTTTTACAGGATAATGTAAGATAAAAATCTTTAGTCCTTCACTGGATAGTGTATAGGTAATGGCCACTGGATAGTATTAAATTACAAGCAATATCTTATGATTAGATTAATCACAACATGTTTCACATTAAATTCATTGTGGATATAGAGGCAGCAAATTTTAAATGAATTCATCATGAAACACAAAGCAGTGTTTACTTTACGATTATCAATAATTTCGTAAACCTGCTATAGTCTACAGTACAGCGAAAAGTTATTATTAAGATACACAATTTTAACCGCCGAATTTTTAGAAACCCAAATTCAACACTCAGCATATTCTTTATCCCATACTAACTCATTCACCTCTGCAAACACATTTGAACTCTTCCAATTCAAAGGTTGGAGTAGTTCATTATTAACTTTCAGGGGTGAGAATGAGTTAACATGAAAGCATCACGAAAGCTGTAACACGTTTGATATTAAATATTGATTTAATTCTTTGTGGATAAGACAGTCCCATGGCTACCAGTCTCTCTCCCCAAATATGTCAAAAAATGTATTCAGTTAGTATAGGATTGATTTCCATCATATGAAAACACACATTCACAGGGAGATAATTTTCATGAACCATGTGATCCTGTCAGACCAGACTTTCATCTCTGGGAATTATTAAGCTAGACTAGGGATTTGCAAGCTGATTTGCAAAAAGGCCCCGGGGCAAAAAATAAAAAACTTTCAAGGAAAATTTAATCGGTCTTTCGTCAACACTGGAAAAGTGTTATGCTGAAAGTTCAATTGACTTTGGATACTCAAATCAAACTCACTAAACTTACCTTCCACTGGTTCTACTTTAGGCACTTTAGACAAACTCTGATTATTTTCGTCGCCATTTTCTTCCTCAAACTTCCTTTTTTTGGCTTTTGGAAGTGTTGAATCTGCTGCAGGGTTGTACGTTTTGACTTCACTGGGAGGGGATAAATAACATCACATTAACTCATACAGGTCTATATCACATTTCAACTTGATAGGTTTGAGATCAAATTAAGTTCAGACTGAAAAATATCTGACATTTGTCTCTGTCATTGCATTAAATTTCAATTCCTACTCAAGTTGGACTCAATGCAACTACCAAATGTAACATGTTTCTTTTGCCGATGAATTTGCACAGATTAACAATGCCTGTGCATATGATTTCCGAAGGGCGATAACTATTGACATGTTTAAACAAAGAACATACCACTTGATGAGATTTTACATTTTTATTGAAGCTACACTAGAAATTGTTCAAACAACCCAACAAGATCAATCAGCAAAATATTATCAGCTTTGCAGTTCATTAAATTTGTTTTAAGAGCATCTCAATTCATCACCCCATGAAATCGACCAAAGCAAGTTTCAATCCTTAATTGAATAACAATTTGCCGACACCTTTTCTGTCTGTTGTACTTTCTTTGATAATAATAAATTATTGTTGATAGTTAATAATGTCCGCGGAAATAAGGTATCTTTCTAGTGAAAACAAGAAAACACAATATAACAGGCACGCTATCAACTTTTACAGTACCGAACCAACAACTCACCTTTTGTTTTCAAATTTGTCCCATTTTGCTTGGAATTTTCCAGATCCACTAATTCTTCTAGCCTGAAACAGAATCATACAATTAAATATTACTGAAAACGAAAGTCATAGAAAAGAAACAGAATTAAAAACAGCCATACTAACACTTTATCAAATCAATCAAATGTAACAAAGAGTACCGCGAGGCGGAACAATATACGCCCGTCCAATGTCATATAGTGTTATATACTTTCTTACATTAAAATCAGATATAAATGTAGGAGAAAATCTCCGGACAAAAAAAATAAAATGCTGAAATGAACAAAGGGCAATAACTTTTGCAAAAATTGTCGAATCAAAATTCTTTTACGGAAGACACAACTTCATATCATGATTATAATGTATACCAAGTTTCAAAGAGATCCTTTGAAAAATGTAGGAGGAGATTGCCAGACAAAAATCAAATACCGAAATAAACAAAAGGCAATTACTTTTGCAAAAATTGTTGAATCAAAATTCGTTTCAAGGAAACACAACAACATATCATGATTATTTAGCCTACTAAGTTTCAAAGAAATCCGTCAAAAAATGTAGGAGGAGATCTCCATACAAAAAATATCAAATACTGAAATGAACAAAGGGCAATTACTTTTGGAAAAATTGTCGAATCAATTTTTTTTTAAGGGAGACACAACTTCATATCATGATTATAATGTATACCAAGTTTCAAAGAGACCGGTCGAAAAATGTAGGAGGAGATTGCCGGACAACCAAAGTTTATGTTGGCCAGACAACCCCATGCCATAATACTTCCGTCAAATTTGACGGGCGTATAAAAATAACAAATAGAATCCTACAAATTGTACCTACCCCACCTTCCTCCATGTATCGGAGCCGCTTCTCTAGCGTAGCTCTATGTTCCAGTCCTAAGTCAGAGTTAGTTTCATCCCCTAGCGCGTCCACACGTATAGCGAGAGCCGACTTGGCTGCTAGCATACGGGACATCTGATAGACAAAACATGGAAATTATCTTAAAATCAAAATTCAATGCATCACAAACTACCAATTTTTTGTTTCGATGTTGAGAGCTGCTAGCTATAGACTTGTATAGGAAACACGGAAGAATTTCTGGGTACTGATGTAAATGCGATCACCTTCCCCCAGACTTGCTCCCTTATCTAAGTATCATAATGGGTGGTGAAATTTGACAAGGGATTTATTCACAACTGGACTGTACATACATCTGAATATACAGATAAAGTTTGACCAGAAATGAATAATATCTCTGAAATATCTCTAATGGTGGACTAGTTACCAAACACATTTACATTTATTAAGATACAGTTAAGTCAGTCTAGCACCGATATTTCCTTCAATTTTACAAACAAATCAATACAAATTTTCTTTAAACAGTGCCCAATGAAAACTTGTAACTCATTTGTTTTCATTTCAACAAATATTATTGTATTCATGTAAATACTAGGAAACATTTAGGAGAGCAGACTTGAGCTAAAAATCTTTTTAAGTGTATGAATCAGTTGTAACAGATAAGTTCACTTTGGTAACCAAGATAAATTGTGAAAATTAACCCATCAAGAGTAAGCTTTGAAATTATCTAAATAAGACATCTAAAATAGCCAAGACATTGTGTAACATAGACATCATGATCCGGGGCTGGTAGGATAATCATTGACATGGAAAATAATGAGCCCGAATGTTTAGTTGACTTACTTTTCCCTTCATCTTGGGGTTTGACTGTCCGACGAGCGAGGCGTGGTATATCAAACCGTATTTGGGCGTGTCATGTTTCGTCTTTAGGGCTCTAAACAGGGCTTTTTCTGCCCCTAAGATCTGGACTGTGGACGATGGATGTTTGGCCAAGTTTAATAGGGAACCTGAAAATAAAGATTTCAAACATGTAGGAAAATTGAAAATTAAATACATTTTATACATAATAGAAGATTTGAGAATAAAAGACATATCAAATAGGTACATGGAAAGTTTTGAAAGAAAAACATTTTTCAACAACATTTTGTTGTTGAAACAAGTTTGTGAGACTGTCTGACCTTTTTATATTGCAAAAGGTTCGAGCCAAATACTAAGATATACAAATGATGTGGAGTTTTAAACTGTTGGCAAGTCCACCACAAATCACTGATTACATTTGCATCCATTTAACTAAGCATTAAACTTGAAACCAAGACTTAGTTAGTATACATACCAAGTAGTTTCATTAAATGTCTGAAAATTCTGTACATGTACTTGCCAGTGATGATCAGTGATCCCTACACATTCATGTTGCCTTTTCAGTTGACTCAAAAAGAAGGTGAGTTGCCAATATTGTGTAAAATGTTAGGACTTGCAGTTTAAATTGGTTAAACAATCTTTCTCTTTTTACAGCATTTACCTGCGTGTGCTATGAGTCGTGCTCCGACAAGTTCTCCTACTAGAATGGTTAAGTTGGGCGCTACAGCCATCATTCTGTTCTTCACGTAGTCATAAAGCTGGGCTCTGTACTCCGTTATATCAACTACCTGCAATAATTAAAAAATCAAAACTGGAAAAGTTGTATCACGCTGAAAGGACATATATTCTTCATAACTTTGGAATATTATATATTTTTAAACACATTTGATACAAGCTGTACAATTACCTAATCAAAGAAAAGGGTTGGGTTAGGGCTGATGTATTAAACTCATTCACCCCTGAAATTCATAATGCACTATTCCAACCTTTGAATTGGAAGAGTTCAAATGTGCTCAGGGGTGAATAAGTTAAAAGCAGTAGTAAAGGTTATACATTTCTTGATGAGCTTTACTCTATACTGAGGAAATTTCAATTAATTTTGACGATCGTATCGATACCCATCACAAGTCATACAGCTTCATGCGTTTCAGTTGTACAGGCTGCATCAGTGGTAGTGACGAAACTGGTAAAACATCACATTTTGTCAGTGAAAACAATTTTTATCCATCATTTGCAACTTTGAGACAACCATCTAATTACATTATAATTATTAAATAGTTAAGATTATTACAGTAAGACTTCGATTAATATAGATCATATGTATAGTAGTGTTTGATGTATAACTAAATAAACCAGCAATTGAGGCAACTACATCCAACTCCAACTCAGATGGGTCGAAATACTCTCTCATCTTGAAACTCTAGACTAGCTACCATCCCCTGTTTTTATGAAGAATTGCTCAGCTGCATTTTACTACTAGCTTATCTCCCCCTAGTTTAGAACTTAGAGTTCTAGAATCAGACATCCAAGAGATCTATTTTTTTTTAGTTAAACTTTTTTTTCTTAATAATTCAATATTCTAGAGACAGTGGACAGTCTATTGAAACTCAGACGAGTCATATACTTGTGAAAGACAAGATTACAAGTATCATGCACACCTCTGGAACACATCGTTCTGAAGGACTAAGTCTCTATATCAGTATATTCACAACAAACATCTTTTTAGAAGGGGAGACCTTACCAAATGTAGTTTGTTTCAACTAAACTTAATTTCGTCATTTTGACGGAGTTGCATCAGTGGTAGTGACGAAATTTGTAAAACATCACATTTTTTCAGCGAAAACAATTTTTATCCATCATTTGCAACTTTGAGACAACCATCTAATTACCTTATAATTATTAAATAGTTAAGATTATTACAGTAAGACTTCAATAATATGCATCATATTTATAGAAGTGTTTTGATGTCAATTTAAAACTAAAATGCCAGCATTTGCAGGGAAAATCCTGAAATTTGAGAGCAGTGGATCATTTTCAGCAATTCAGTCAATTTCAAGATTAAGAGTGTCCATTCTATGTAAAATTTAAAGAAAATTGGACGATGGAAGGGGTTGATATATACCAGATTTAAGGGGTCAATGGCCCCCTCCAGGATTATCCCTGATTTGAGGCAACTACATCAACCCAAACAGGTCAAAATACTCTCTGATCTTGAAACTCGAACGAGTCATTTACTAGTGAAAGACAAGATTATAAGTATCATGCACACCTCTGGAACACATCGTTCTGAAGGACTAAGTCTCTATATCAGTATATTCACAACAAACATCTTTTAATAGGCGAGACCTACGGTAACCAAATGATTTTTGTTTCAACCAAAATTAATTCCATCCATTGATTGTAGTTGCATCAGTGGTAGTGACGAAATTGGTAAAACATCACATTTTGTCAGTGAAAACAATTTTTATCCATCATTTGCAACTTTCAGCGACAAATTTTACGATATTAAATCGAAAAGGCATTAATATGTATTTGGTAAAATTGAGAGGATTGAAAGGACTTTCACAACAAAATCAAATAATCTGACCGACTGTGCGTGATATTTTTGTGATATTTTTTGTACAAAGATAGTTTCTACTAGAAAATAATGCATAGAGTAAGTAAAATCTGACATTCACCACATATTGCAGAGATACTGATGTAGATTTTGTAAGCTTTCTTTTGATGATTGTGGTTTCTGTGGTTTCAAAACACTGTACACATTTATATGGATATATTTTATTACTGTTTCAAACACTGGTGATTTTAATAAAAGGATAAGTTTAGGCGAGGAAATTATCAACCACCACATTGAAATAATATGATTACCACAGAAACCACAAAACTTTTTTTCTGAATGAACTAAAAAAGAACAGTTGTCTTCATCTTATAAGCTGCTACAATGTAGTACCTGACCAAGTTTGATAAAACTGATTTTGGAAAAAGTGAATTTATTGGATAGGAAACAATCAGCTATTGTTCCGAGTGACTTGATCCTTAACAGAATACTAAATAGCCTGAGAAAGTATTAGTTACCAGGCGGTCACAAAATCGTTGAGAAATTGTAGTTGCATCAGTGGTAGTGACGAAATTGTTAAGACATCACATTTTGTCAGTGAAAACAATTTTTATCCATCATTTGCAACTACTGTATATTGATATACCTTATCTATGGTGATTGATTTGTACTTAGCAAGGGTGATGATTTCATTCCTTAATTATTCAATGTACATTATATGAGAGAAAATTAAAACACATAACACTGAATAAATTGCCTTCCACATATCCAAGTTCAATTTAGTTTTAAAGAGAACTTTGCTTTAATAGTGGACATGTCTAAATTGGCCCTATAACTTGACTTTTTGAAAGGTGGTTTCCCACAAACCATTGTAGCATTGACGCTATACATAGAAATTCCCTAAAGAGGGCCGGCCGGCTGGTTATTATGTATATCTAACTCAAGTAACCCACAATGGAAGATGCTGGTTCAAAGTATTTTGTGTGACACCATACTTAACAGACTGGCCAATTTAATGAAATCATGCTCAGGTTCAATACGAAACAAGCTTGATATCAACACACAATCACTGCTGACACTCTCAACTCAGAAAAACTTCTATCAAGGATTTAAAACTTACATTTACAATTGCGGGAGAGGTGTCACTAATCAGATTGTACTCATAGTCCAATAAATGTAATTTCTTCAGATAGGGATTATAAAGGGGCTTGCAGCAGATAATACAATCACAGTCTATTGGCCTACCTGTTCACTAAGGTAAGTGATATTCGTTAAATCCTCCTCTGAGATTTCTGTTCCCATGGAGATTTCAGCAGCGTGTTTTAATTCTTGTTCCACCTCCTCAGGTAGAATGTCAGAAAAATCAACGTTGACAGCATTTGTCCTGTAACCTAAAATAAACAGCTCCTATATCAAAACACTAGTCACATCTCGGGGACAGATACCATATTAAACATCGCTGTAATAAACATGTGATTCAGTTTTAGATAAATGACTATTTTCAAAATTATCTATCTTATAACGCATTCTACACCCTTGCAAATGCAGAACTGAAATTGTTAACATGTTTCAAGTTGTGTATGTGAAGTAAAAATTGTTGAATCATATTATGAACTTGCAGATTTAATAAATAAAGACATTTTACCCTTAAAACATCATATATATTGAATTACATCATACATTAATTTGACAATTTTACCTAATATATAAATCTCTTTCAATATTTAGGTAGGAGAACATCTCCCATTCATATAAATAATACAGGAAACAGAATCTCACCCATTAGCTTTACAGTTTTAGCATATGCCAGGTTGTCTTGTACAATTTTTCCTAGTTCAGGAAAGTGCCAACCGAACCATTCCCGCGCCCTCATGATGTAGTTGTTCAACTCTTTGTCAAGGTCATCCAGAAGAGCTGTAAGAGTCCACAAATATTATTTTACAATAATTGTCAATTACCATTATACATTTCAAGTATTACACAGGGGCTTGTGGTTGATGACTTTCGGAAAATATACACAAGGAGCCTGATCTAGAGAAATTTAAGTGACATTTGCATTGACCTTGGGAAAATACAGTATTTATTATCCAAGAGAGGGGCTTTATTATGGCCCCAAATCAGCATTAAAAAATAAACTGAACACTAAGAATAGGACCATTCACTGGAACCTTTAAGAAACGATAGTGGGGTACAGGAAATTTGCTCAACAGTGTATCAATATTTTGGTATAATCTTTATAAAAAACAGTCTTATTTCAAGAAAAAAAATATGAAAACTTCATTCCTTCATTTTCATTTATGTCATATTTCAAGTAAGGTGACTTTATTAACCCTTCACCACTGTAGACCATAATGGACCCATCCAGATCAATGCATGGTAGGGTTTACTTAAGTTACATAGGGGTGAAAGGGTTAATATTGTTGTATTTCATACAAATCTTTAGACTTTAGATGTACTTACATATAGCCTGAACAATCATTGTATCCACTTTGTCAGGACTGAACTTCAACTTGTACCGGGACAAACTGAAATATACAACCATTTATTTCTCAGTTAGTTGATTCTACATTATAAAATATTAGTGGTGGTTTTTTTTCTAACAAGACAATCATTTATTGCCTATTTCAACTTTGTTACCTGTTAAGACAGTGGTTAAATTTGAATTTTTTCACACAATGTGACTGATATCAATCCTTGTCTGGAAACCATGTTTTAATTAAAGTAATACAGATTTAGTCTCTTAGTATCTATGACAACTTGCCTGTGAGCCAGTCCGAGGGCCATGGCGGCCATGTCTTTCTCTGGTAGACCTGTGATGAGACTGTTCATTTGAGAGCGGATTCCTCTCATAAGTTCATTAATAGAAGTGTTACACACACAGTTCACATCAAACTTGTCCTGTAATAAACAAATATCAACATCAGGGTTTTAGCTTGGTGTTTATAGGGTCTGGTAAGGGGACCAATTCCCAATTGAAAAATGACCCTGTATTTTCCCAATTTTAGTCTTTATTTTACCAATTAGTTAAAAAACACATGGTTATACAAGTTTCCAGTCGTAATATGTGCAACGTTCAAAGTACTACCAATTCAAAATATATAAATAACGGAAATTTGAAACTGAATAAACAAAAACACTGAAAATTGATGTGTTTAATTATTGCTATACATTTCACTGTAAGAAACAGCTAAAGGAAAACTTTTTGCAAATACATTGTAGGTTTTATTTTCCAAACCTGTGCATGTGGGAACACTGATATTTCCTAACCTGTGCATGTGCAAACACTGATATTTCCTAATCTTTACCATATGTCGATGATATGAGGAATGTTTACCCATATGGATGTTCACCCTGTAGTAACATTTGTAAATATCACAGGGATAGAAAAATTAACATAACATTATGTCAGTTAAGAAATTCAGATTTATTTAATGCACATCTAAATGATAGCCCCGCTTGTATGTGGCTCCCCCTTCGAAGATCGTGATCCTTTTTTTCCTGCACTGTCCGTTTTATACTAACCAACGACTAATATTACTTAACTCTCTGTCAGCGATGAGTGATGCTATTCCACTCAATACCCAATCTTCTATTGATGGTTTCCAATCACGAGACGTAAATATGAATATAAATAATGTGGAGGCGGTTCAGAGACACCAGACGTTTTTATTAGATTCTCAAATAGCTTTGTAAAATAATCTCTCTTTATACAACAATTGTGATATTTGAAATATATATTGTCAAATCAAATTCAAAGTACAAATAATCTCTTATTTTAATACTTAAAGAAACACCTGTAAAAGTAACATTTATATGATATGTATATACTGTTATGTTTTGTAAGGAGAGGGCTTATATAGGCTATGCCTGTTGCCAAATTCCCTTTGTACATAAGATCAGTACAATAAAATATTCTGAAATGAGATGAAAATAAAAAACCTTGCCCCATCACCTATTAAATACCCCATGGGGTGGATTTTAATTTCCAAACATCAAATACTCCTGCCCCCATTCCCCTAACTCCCTTAAACCCACGCATTGAGCTGATGACTGTTCATAAGTATCAATATTAATTCAAGCTGGCTGCATGTTTACACTGGCATGCACCACTGAAGCTAAATAGTGGTAGAGCAATCATAGAGCTATGTCCTATATTCTTGTGTAATGTAATTGTTTAATGTGTGTTTTTAAAGAGAAATGGGACACTGATATTACCTAACATTATTTGTAATAATTTGGTAAATAAGCCAGAGAGGGTATTATATATTTTATATATATCTGTTCAGTGAAGTTTCGATTTTCAATAGAATACTAGCACTATCTGAATTCAGTTGTGCCAATTCTTGTTTCATCTTGTTTCTAACCTTTATGACATTTCCAAGTTTGGCATCAGCCACAGCAAGTTCTTGGGCTGGTTCTACTAAAACTTTTTTGAGAAGTTTCTTCAGAGATTTGTTCATCTTCCCCTCAATGGAGGCAGTGGCAGCTGTAGAGTAGAAAAAGACAATTGCATATATAGCAATACAGGTTTATAAAAATTGTTTTACTTCCATTGTTTTCCTAGATCCAAATGTTAAGGATCCTCAGAATCCTACTGTAGGTAGGTAGAGATTTTTTTTTATTTTACTATGATTATATAGAGCAGAAGTACTAGTTTGGACTTTACCCTTTCACCCCTAGGAAACTTTAGTAGACTCTACCATACATTTATCTGGATGAGTCCATTCTGGTCTACAGTGGTGAAAGGGTTAAACAGTGCATATCACTAAATGCCAATATTTTTTTTTAGGGTAGATGCACAAAACTAGGGTAGGTATGACTAAAAGAAACAAAAGTTTTTTTTATTAGGCCTTAATGCCCTTATTAGAGATATTGCAAAAGCTGTTTCTGAATACTTATATTATTGCAATACATTATGTCTCAAACATAATTGTTTTTTATTTATTGATTTCCCGAGACTGTCCTGCTTCATTCGTCTTAATAGCCTACCCCAGTATATATATCAAATCTTTAATTCTACAGATTTTTTACCCATAAAAGTGAAGTGTAAAATTTACTCAAAGTGTGTTAATTCATAATTATTGCATATGGAAACTCATTATGTTTTGCAAATATTTCTATACAAACTGAAATATTACAATTCATATTACTGTAACACTTTAATACTCACCAGCAAGGGCTTCGGTAGTATCTTTGAACTTTTTGAAATGCTGCAATTTCAATCTGAAAAGTGAATAAGAAAAACTCCTGTACAACTTGTGGAGGTAGTTACATCAAGTACAGATACACCTAAGTATGACATGGGAATTTAATTACCACAGATCTAGAGCAAGGTAGCTATAGTTTTGTGATGAAATATTATGTAAGCTTTTTGAACAGTTGTTGCAGGTCAATATTGAACTCATTAAAAACCAAACCTGATACTCACATTTTACTAGCACTTTCAGCGGTTGAGAATTCTTCATAAAGTTTTTCAGTCTTCTTCAACTTTTTTTCATCAAGCAGCTGAAGGGAGAAAAAGAGGTATGATTCAATGTTTAGACGGTGGCATTTTTGTGTTAACACACACTATCATAAATATGAGACAACAGTAAACTAAGTAAGGTTGTTGAACTATCACAGCACATTGAATTAGCGTATCGACACCAGATCTGCTCATCACTGAAAGCGAATTAAAATTGATTGACACAAAAGACAGATCTATCTTTAATCATAAGAGTGACTGATCAACAAAAAGAGGTGGTCGGTAAATCTTCTAATCAATTAATATTTTTTTCTAGTCATGATCAATTCTGTTTGTTGGTCATGATTAATCACTTTTGATCGGTGGGAAATTTTGAACAATTAAAAACTGAGGACTTTACTGACAGAATATAGCAGCTGTTGGTGATAATAAGGGCTGTTTTGGATCAATAAATAATCCATTGATCGATATATACGAGGTTTGTGTTGGGTCATAGTAGATATTTGTTGTCAGCACCTCAAAACTCTCCGACACTGAACAGTGTCTGAGAATTCCACTTAATTTCCCACAACGTATCCAGCGACTGAAAGTCTAACAAGATCAGTATCATTAGTAGTTGTGTGGTCTGGGTGGACGATAAGTGTTGGTAACTGTGCTGTACGTGATAAGATTTCCTTGAAAATCAAAACTCAGGGATTACGGCACAGATATAAATGGAATGCATCTTTAGCTTCCGACGACAAGACAATTTTTATATATTGACCAGGTATTAATATTAATGTTTTTAGCTGCTTCAGCTTTTAGTGCTTATATTCAACATGTCTGTATGCTACTGTTTCTGTTAAGTGCCTGTATGATTGTAGTTTCATCTTCGTAGTGCTAATCTGTTTATGAGTTATTGTATATCATGTTTTTATAATGTGTTGTTTTTTTTTACATTTTTTTCACATTGTTTGTCGAAATACAAACTCCTGAGAGCTTATGTTCTTGTTAACCATATTTGACACTAAATAAACATTCTTGTCTCTTGTAGTACTGGAGTGTCTAGCATCTGTGGATGTGATAATGACTGGAATTCTATACTCAGTCCTAAAATTTAAGATATATCCGCCTAATGACGTCCCCTGCATCGATGCCAGTAAACGACACCCCGATACTATGAGTAAAATGTGGGTATCGATACGCAGGACACTAACATTTTGTTCTTCATTACTTCAACTGACTGAGCGAGCACCGCAGTCGGGCCACGAGGTCTCCATTTAAAGACCACGTGGTGGGTACCAGGCGTTCCAAATGCCTATCTATCAATTGTCTGAGCATGATCTGGTTTGACATGGATGCACACATTACATAAATAACTAATTTATACCTTGAATACAGCGTATCCAGCCGCAGTTTCAAATAAAACCAACATCTTGAGTTCTTCTCTCGCAGCTGATTGTAAACAGGAAAAGCCACGAGGACGGTTTTGATGTTGTGGGCATGCGCAATATATATTACGGATCCCTGCGATTATAAAAGAAACGAAACAAATTATGTTTTTGAGTCGGGCAGCTGAATGATTGCCTTTAATCTATGAATTCTAACTTATGACATCCGCCTTAAAGTTAACTAAATTTAGCCTTACTGCTTTATTTGAAGAGTAATTTTGTATAAGTTTAGAAGGTCAGAAACTTTATATCCAGATTTACCTACCACCGTATTACTCGAATTATATGAGTTATTCCCCTTCGCTCACAAGCTGCTATTGAACGGCGAATTTTTGGATTAAAATTAAAATATGATAGTGGAACAATCCTCTGCAAAATGATACGTAAGTATGTGACGGTAAAACAAAATTATCTTTCATATAATTTGAGATACTGTTTGTAAATAATTTGGGCGATTGGGTATTATTTGGACATTGTGTTCGCCCCCAAAAAATTGACTTTATGACACACAGTTGAGTAGACAGAAAACATTATGTTGGCGTCACACAGATTGGGACAATGTGGAGTGGGACATTGGTGACAATAGGGCGGGCTAAATTGAAACATTAGACAGATTTTTGTAGTTTAGAAAATCCTTTGAAGGTGGAATTAATACTGCCATTTTTGTGCTTGTTATTTTGTATGGTGTGATTTACCATATTTCTATGTAAATTAAGTTAGGAGAACGTCGCGATATGATTACCACTTTGGAGCTAAGACGTATAGAGCTAGTAGTACATGTATATACCTCTGTTTGGAGGGACACCATATATTTTACCTATTTTTTTTTATCTGTTTGTGTTAAAAGGTAGCTGAAGTCCACATCAAATGACATCTTCAGTAATATCCAATATACTTCAATTTGGCCGGAGACGTTCTGTTGTATACGTATACATCTCTGGTTTGGATTCTCTCATCGATAAATGTTTTCCCCGGGATTTGAGTATAGTCAACATCTCCCCTCAGGTAAAGCAACTATTGTGTATTTTGTTAACTTTCTTTTTGGTAATAGTGTATCAATTATCATTATTTTTGAGAAAGCATACATGTAGGTAAAATGTATATTTACTCTATATATTATATCCAATAGGCAAGACAAACCATCCTAACATATTAATGACCTCAAACGCAAGAAAAGGATTCAGTTATATTCAACCTTAAAAAAATATATTTTGGAAACATTTAAAAATTAATAAGAAATACTTAATGAAAAATATGAATAATTATATAAACACGGTATCAATTAGGATTATAACAAAAAGAAAGATATACGCCCTCTCTTCCCACTACGTATGTGATCTGGTGAGCGAAATGTCTTCAACTCAGCGCGTTGAAAAGGTTTTCAAGGGGATTCAATTTTAGAGCTGATACCAAACATAACTGTCACACAACGCCAGATCCGACAAATGATCCAAAAGTCGAATAATAGTAATATATGCATCAGTAATGGTTGATATAAATACGTATTTTATTGTAAATTCGTTGTCGCTCGTAAACCTGATTTAATACCGTGAGTAATGGTTTTCTCTAATTAAGTTTAAACATATTTTCTTGCCATAAATTTAGCAAAAGGATTAGGCACTAGTTACACGAACATTATAATCGCCCTTTCCTTACTATTTGATGAAACATATATGAACATCATAAGATGGCTAAATATCAATATATATATATATTATAACTGAATGATTGAGAGAGAGAGAGAGAGAGAGAGAGAGAGAGAGAGAGAGATAGAGAGAGAGAGAGCGCGATAACTTGAGGTTACAGTGAAATTACATAAACAACAAATTGATTAACATTCATGAAAATATCAATTAGAAAAGTATCATAGATTATTTCTCATTCTTGTCCTGTCAGAGGTTGGGTGTTATTTCTAGCAGCTTATTCCATTAAGATTGCTAACATTACTGTTTTGAAAATAATAAAACAATTGTAGCCGTTGACTTCGGTCGATATCTGGATTTATCGACCCGAGAAAAGATATATTGACCTCGGACTGCGTCCTCTGTAGTAGATGTATTATAACGGTATAAACTCCACACTTTTTGTGGAGGGATGTGGAGGGGTGTGGAGGGTGACTTTTGACCTAGATATGCATGGAATGTATGACGCAATAGGGGAGGGAAAACCCAGATAGGTATGGAATGTGTGGAGGGACTGTGCGACACACAATAGGAAAGAATGTGTGGAGGGAGTTTGACCTAGACATGTTTGAAACGTGAAACGTCACAGTGTGGAGGGGACATACAAGACTGAACATGCCCACAACAGACGATGATGCTATTGTTAGTCTGAACACTTCCCGAATTAAAAGTAGAGCTATAATATGTAGAAGTCGACTATCATAATGTAGAGGTAAAGGTTGTTATTGTCAGAAAAGACATGTTCACAGTAACCCAACTCAGTCAAGCTTTTAAAATGATGTTATCAGTAAGAAACAATTTTCACACTCCACTAAACTAAACGCTGTAAATTCATAACTCGATGTATCGCACTAGTGACATTTCAAGGGTTATAACCTTAAGGCCTAAACATAACCATACATACAGAGAAAAGTTTGTCCCAGCAGCTTATTAGGTTAGAACGTTAGGCTAAAAATTAAGGATTCAATTCCCTATACAGTCATTTGATTTGTCAAATATATTAACTTTACAATGAATCACACGAGAAAGTATTTAAATGATGTTATCACCAGGATACTCTAATGCAACGCATATTTCAAGTCAACCATGGAACAGAAATGTGTGAGAAAAACTTTCGCTATACCTGCTCCAATGAACATGAGAATACAAATTGACACAGATTGAATGTTTCAATACTAACAAATTTAATAATCAACATCTTTAAAAGTTTAACATGACAATGTAACAATTGAGAATCTAAAAAACCGTTCCAAAACTGGCCCCAACAAATACATCAGACTCCAAACGAACTCGCCCGTAACAGATTTTTGTATTCAGGACATAGCGATAAAGTTACCTGTTTCATGTGTTGAGTACATTTAAGCTCATGAACAGCCTACGATTGTGTAGAAATCAAACATAAAAGGTGGTCGAAAGATTGCGTATACTTACAAATGATGATACCGTAGAGTTTATGCAGATATATTTTTGAATAACCTCATACCATATTAAGAACATTTTAAGAACATAGGAGTAGACCTTCCGCGATTTTTAAGTTGTTTCTGTGTTGATATTACAAGGTACACCATTGCGATAATGAGAAGCTGATCGAGAGAGGTTGGTCGTACGACTGGCAAGAAACAAAAACACGGACACATAATCGAATTAGTGGGGACATTAAAAGATCTCTGGAAAGAAAAACAATTATCCTATGACGATTCTCTGCTTGATTTGTTTATCATGTTTGAAGAGCACATAGGCGTTGATATTTCTTGATAATTCACGATGAAAAACCATATCGAGGAGAAAGCCTATGTTTTGCAATACAATTTTTTTACAATTCAAAAGTCCAAACACACACCATTTTTAAGTTAAAATTTTAACGTTGAGGGATAACACCAGATTGGAAGGAAATGTCTTTATTTAACAATATGTGGCCTTTTATACTTACAGTAGGTGATGTAAAGATAGCGATGACTTACAATGAACTCGTAAGATCTCATAGGTGTCTAAACACTCTTAACAAAGAGTCGGCATTGGGTGCATATATATATGGAGACTACACAAATGGCTCAAGGGACTATTAATCGCATAATTAACGAAAAAATCCCTCTGACCAGCATACCACACATCTACCTACAGTACTGATACATTATCAGTTCTCTAGAAGAGTCTACACTTAAACCTCCTCAGCCTGTCTGAGACAATTTCTCATTTTCGTCGTACTAGTCCAATCAAATGATTGGAACAATTTCCTTTTTGATTTCATATAATATATAGACTTCAAGAGACCCAGTTCAGTTGACTTTTTTATAGAAAGTAACCTACAACATTAATCTGATTTCAAGATGCCTTAAATGATCTAACTCAAATAATAGCTTTGAATAAGTCAAGTGGAATAGTTGCCAGTCTTGTACTGTCTGTATTGCAAGAAAAAAAGGTCAAGACAATATTAGTAAACGTGCATGGAACTTTATAATCATCAAATAAAAACACAGTATTTGTAAAACAATTTCAATCAAGAAACGATATGGAAACCGGGTTTTACAGTGGGTGAAAGTTTGTTTTAGTATTCATGAAGATTTACAACAACAAAAGTCTTTTCAAGTGAAATTTTTAACCTGTTTACATAACGTTTCCTGAATAAAATGGTTCTACAAATGTTGAGAATTTTAAACTTTTTCACATCTGTTAGAGGTTTTATTTAAAGAAAGGTACACTTTTGCATAAAATAAGATATGAAAAGTGTGTCAAAATACCTTTGTGTCAATTTCGTTAACAAAATACTTTAATTTAACTCATGTCTGTAAATAATTTAACTTGATAAGACTTTCGTTGTTGTAAATCGTCATAAATACTAAAACAAACTGTCACATACTATGTAAAAACCTGTTTACATAACGTTTCCTGACTGAATTTGTTTTATAAATGCTGTGTACATGTGTTATAAAATGTCTGTCATCATACTTTTGTTTCAATTTCTTTAACAAAATACTTTAATTTAAATCATGCCTGCAAATAATTTAACTTGAAAAGACTTCCGTTGGTGTTAATCTTCATAAATACTAAAACAAACTGTCAAATACTATGTAAAAACCTGTTTTCATGACGTTTTCTGATTAAAATGGTTCTACAAATGCTGAGAATTTTAGACTTTTTCACATCTGTTAGAGGTTTTATATAAAGAAAGGTACACTTTTGCATAAAATATGATATGAAAAGTGTGTCAATTTTTTTGTGTGTCAATTTCGTTAACAAAATACTTTAATTTAACTCATGTCTGTAATAATTTACCTTGAAAAGACTTTCGTTGTTGTAAATCGTCATAAATACTAAAACAAACTGTCACATACTATGTAAAAACCTGTTTACATAACGTTTC